AGTTTTTCCCCCCAAAGCCCCAGTAGATAGTTGTACGTCATAGGTTCACATCCTTCTAGTTGCTGTACGTGGGACTCGGCCTCGCGTTGGACAGAGAAGTGGTGCCTCGGGGCGCTCCCGGGATCCGAACCCGGGCCGCCAGCATCAGAGTGCGCGCACTTAACCGCTAAGCCACGGAGCCGGCCCTCATGCAGATTTCTGAATGAAAAAAAGTGACTTCTGTACACCAGCAGTAACCAGCTAGGAATTTTAATATAAAGATACTATTCATAACTGTATTGAAAACTAAAGGTATCGAGGAATAGATCAAACTAAAGCTGTATAGTCTTTTAGGGAGAAAATTATAGTGCTCTATTGAAACAAAAAAGAAGACCCAAGAAATGGAGAGATATACCATATTCATGGATGGGAAGACTCAATATCATAAAGATGTCAGTTTTCCCCAATTTTACAGATTCAGGGCAATTCCAATTGAAATTGGTATATGTTTTTTCGTGGAACTTGACATGTTGAGCCAAAAATATATATGGAAAGATAAAGGACCAAGAATAGCTAAGTCAATTTTGAAGAAAAATTTTAAATAAAGTCCCTTCCTCCCAGATAGCAAAACTTAATATAAAGCCATAATAATGAAGACTACTGTCTTAATTACTAGTATTGGTTCAGGGATAGAAAAGTAGACTCATGGAACAGAGTAGAGAGCCTAGAACCACACCCATGTACATATGGGAGTTTAGTATACCACTAAGTGGTACTACAAAGCAGGAGGAAAAGCATAGACTGTTCAGTAAATGATGCTGAGATACGTGATATCCATATAGAATAAAGACAAAATTAGATTCCTGCTTCACACCATTCACAACAGTAATTTCCAAATGGATTAAAGACCTAAGTGTGGAAGACACATCTGTAAAATATTTAGAAAAAAATATAGGAGGCTATATTGTCTTTAGGAAAGATTTCTTTTGTTTTATTGGAGTTAAATATACATAACATAAAATTTACTACCATTTTAACCACTTTTAGGTATGTAGTTCAGTGGTATTCATATTATTGTGCAGCCATCACTACTGTCTAACTCCAGAACTTTTTTTCTTTCTGGGAGGGATTTCTTAAGGTACGAAAAGCACCACTGAGGATGCTATTGCATTACTCCAAATGAGAGATGATGGTGACTTGAGCTAGAGTGGTAACACTGAAAACGGAGAAAAATGGATGGATTTGTGATATGTTTTGATGGCAGAGAACAGGAATTGTGCATGGTTTAGATATGAGGTGAGGAGAAAACAAAGAATCCAGAGCAACATCCAAGTTTTGCTTGAGCTGTGTGGTAGGTTATTTACATTTATCATCAAAGGGTATTTACCGTTTGTTTGGTGGTGATGGGGAGGATGAGTGGAGGAAGAGTTTGGGGAGACAAAGAATTCTGTTTTGTCAGTTGAGTTTGAAAGGCCTGTTGGGCATCCAAGTGGAAATATTCCAGTAGCTGTTGGATAGATGAGTCTGGAAAGATTGTGGCTGGAGGTACAACTTTGGAATCTCTGGCATATAGATATTTAAAACCGTGATTTGTTAGAATTAGATTTGGCTGCATTTCTGCACACAGAAAATATAAGGTAATAATGGCTTAAGTATGCATATGATTCCATAGGTAGGCAGGCCATGGCTGGTATGGCAGCAGCTCCATGATCATCAAGGACTTGGACTCTTCTGTCTTGCTATTCTGCCATCCTTAGCATGCTGCCTCATCTCAATCTGATAGTTGAGGTGGACACTTTAATTCCAACTGCCACCTGCTCCTGGGAAGAGAGAAGAGGGAGGGTTGAAGAAAGACACATACTATTCTCTTTAAGGACACTTCTCAGAAGTTGCACATGACACATCCACTTATGACCCCTTAGCCAGTTCTTAGTGACCACACTTAGCTAGAAAGAAAAATAGACAATGTAGTGCTTATTCAGTTATTTGTGTGCCCAGTTACATTTCAGGAGTTTTATTAATAAAAACGAAGGGGAGAATGGGCGTTTAGTTTCAGTCTGGTTTCTTCTCCAACCAGGGCAACGACTCTACCATTATGAAGGCTCCGGTTGTTAAATGTAATGGAATTGTTGATTATTTGTTTCATTTGGTATTCATAATCTCTCCTTTTTTACTTTCTGTGTCCTTCTTCTTAGTCTCTTAGAATTTCTCCTCTGTTTTCTACTTAAAATTAGTGTTTCAGATTTAATGTAGTCACAGTCATAATCCAAAGGCTTTGTAAAAATAGAAATCGACAGGCTGACTTTAAAATTATGTGGAAGTGAGGGGGCTGGCCCGGTGGCATAACAGGTAAATTTGCCGGTTCGGATCCTGGGCGCGGACCTACGCACTGCTCATCAAGCCATGCTGAGGTGGTGTCCTACATAGAGCAACTAGAAGGATGTACAACTATGACATACAACTATCTACTGGGGCTTTGGGGAGAAAGAAGGTAAAAAGGAGGAAGATTGGCAACAGATAGCTCAGGGCCAATCTTCCTCAAAAAAAAAAAATTACTGGTTTGTCCTGTCCTTTAAAAAAAAAATAATAATAATATAGAAGTGCCAAAGACCTAGAATAGTCAATCTTGAAAAGGATCCAAAGAACTTACACTACCTAGCTGCAAGATTTATTGTAAAACTACAGTAATCTATACAGTGTGGTATTTATATCAGGATAGACAAATAGATCAATGGAATGGAGTACAGTCCAGAAATAGGCCCATACTTCTATAGTCAATTGATTTTCAACCAAGGCACAAAGCCAGTTCAATGAGGAATGGAAAATCTTTTCAACAAATGATGCTGGAACTATTGGATATCCATATAGGAAAAAAAAATGAATCTCAACTCCTGTCTCACCCAATACACAAAAATTAATTTGAGGTGGATCATAGACCTAAATGTAAAGGCTAAAACAAAAATATGTTTTAGACAAACTTATATTCTCACAGGAAAATATCTGTGACTTTGAGGTAGGCACCAGTTTCTAAGGCAGGACACAGAATGCAATAACCATAAAAGAAAAACTTTTAGATGTTATGAAAATTAAACCTTCTGTTCATCAAAAGGTACTTCTAAGAAATTCAATAGGTGAGTCCCAGGCTAGGAGAAGATATTTTCAGTATATATGTATGTACATATATCTGATAAAGGATTTGTTTTCAGAATGTATAAAGAACTGGTAACTCATTTAAAAAACACAAACAATCCAATTTAAAAATAAGCGAAAGAACAGACTTCACAGAAAAATAAATGTAAATGGCTAACATGAATATGAAAAAGTGCTCACCTCATTGGTTTTCAGGGAATTGCAAATTAAAACCACAAGGAGAGGCTACGATGTACCAGCTAAAATCAAATGGGCAGACAGCATCAAATATTGGCGAGGTTGTGGAACAACTGGAACCTCATACTCCTGCATTACTGG